GAGCAAGAGAGAGCGAGAGAGCGAAAGAGAGAGAGAGAGAGAGAAGAGAGAGAGAGAGAGAGAGCGAGGGCAGAGAGAGAGAGAGATAGAGAGAGAGAAAGAGAGAGAGAGAGAGAGAGAAGAGAAGAGAAGCGAAGAGAAGAGAGAGAGCGAGAGAGAGAGAGAGGGAGAGTGAGAGAGAGAGAGAGGAGAGAGCAGAGAGAGAATAGAGAGAAGAGAGAGGAGAGAGAGAGAGAGAGGCAGAGATAGAGGCAGAGAGAGAGAGGCACAGAGAGAGAGATCGGACAAGTAGGCGGACCAGGGTCCGTCCGCGAGGCGCACTGCGGTGCGACAACTCGCATGCACTATTTGCGGCGGTGCAGCCTTAAGATACGAGGGCGGGCTACAATACCCCCTCCCCCGGCGCAGTGCGACTGACGCTACAGACGGCGGACAGACGATGAAGATCTCACCTGACAGACCGCGTGAGGTAAAAGGCCCCAACAAGAAGGCGACGTGCTGGCACGTGGCTAGGCGGCTTGGCGGACCGCCAGTTGGGCGCTTGGCCGCTAAGCGGCGCGCAGTGACGGGGCACCCCCCGCCCCCACGCCCTGACTCCGTGGACGCGGAGCCACACGTACACACGGGCAGGCAGAAAGGAGGAGATTAGCGCGGGGCACCAGGTGGAGCGCCGCGGAACGATGACAACATAGCTTGGATGTTGAGTGACGGCACGACACCATCGGGCGAGGTCGTGGTCGTGAGCAGCTCGGCGAAGGCTCGCCCAGCGCTGTGGAGGCGCTGGAGTAGAGGACCTTGACGAGCTTGGGCAGCGGCGAGGTCCGCGGCGAGAGCTAAGCACCTCTGCTGAAGGGCAGCCATAGCCTGTGACAGCTCGGTTTCACGGTCGGTGAGAGGTGGCTGCTCAGTGACATCCGCCGAGGATCTCGAGACAGAGGCGAGGTCCTCGGTACGCCTGTCCAGGTGGGCTAGCGGAGTGCGGGACCCTGAACGCTGACGTCCGTCACCCTTGAAAGGTGACAGGAAGGGCCGGCGCGACCCCAGGGCTGGAGCCGCTAGGGCCGCGCCCCGAGAGGTCAGGGGAGCCGCTTCCTCTCGCTCAGCAACGGAGGAAGCGTGGGTGGGGCACGAGGGCCAGTCTGGTTTAGTACCCTGCGGGGGGGCTGAAGCCGCCCCCGCGGGTCGCTGGCGATGGGGAGGCGGAGTGGTATGCGCGGTGGGACCAGTCGTGATGCCGTGCAAGGCCGCAGAGGTCGGTCGCGTAGAGGGTTGGTGTCTCGGTGGGGTGGCATGGTCGGCAGCGTGTGGTGTCGGCGGTGCGTCCTCAATGCCACTCAATCCTCGGGGGGCACCTGGGTCGTGGTCGGCGTCTTGGCGGTGACCGATATCGTCGTATGTTGGCGTTAACGCTCTTGGGGACGGCGTCGCAGTAGGGTTTGCGAGGTTTCCCGACGGGGCGGGGTTTTCGTTGGCTGGTCCGTCGTCCAAAGCGTCCGATCCCCCTCCGAGGCTGAAAAGGTCATCGTCCTGTTCATC